AAATCATGCATAGGAAGGTGAAAAAAAGTTAATCCTAGTGTTCTGGGGAAAGAGACAAGAGCTTTTTACCTGACTTTGCAAATTCCCTGTGGAAAAAGTGAGCTTTTGAAAAAATTGAATTCGAAAGATTCGTTTTTTTGAGACACTTCACTGATTGAGTTTTGACTATTTTTGTAAATTCAACTTATTTTTGTCTAATTTGCTATAAAATTTTATTGCAAACAGTTGGTGAAAAATGACAAAAATACCCCAGTACATACAGATGTCTTGTTTTTCTTTCGGCCTACGGCAAAGTTGTTGACGGACAACGAAGATTTTTATTGACATATCGAAAATGCGGGATTGGATTTTCGCCCATTTTCAGAGTGCATGGAAATGTAGAATTTTTTCTTAAAATGAGGAATTTCAGCTTAAGGTGCAAACTGATTAAAAGTGCGCCAAAGGCAGCTAAAAAATGTTAAAGAAAAATTGAGTGCTAAAGCCCTATCGATCTTCACTGTATTCTGGGATGCCAGTTCATTGCATATATGTGTGTGTTTGTGTGTGTGTGTGTGTGTGTGTGTGTGTGTGTGTGCGATTAAATAAAAGAAAATTGATTGGAATACGGTAATACAATAGTTAAGCAGACTGTAGCAACCAGGTTGATTGGGGAAGCCTAAAATGGCGAAGGCGCAGTAGATTAGCAGATGAGAGGAGATAAGAGTGAGATAATGAAGTTTCGGTTCATTAAGTCATATACGCCGTAACTCAACAGATAAAATACATTGTCGTAAGTATGGTGCCTGTGTAGGATCATGAAGCTTACAGGTGATCGAATTGAACTACTGGAATGGGTGAATGGCGATTGGTTAAAGGGAAGATTGCATGAAATGACTGGTTTAGTACCACGCACTTACATACTCACTGAAGACAGCAGCACTGCACAAAACCAAGTTTATGGTACTGGCATGGTTGGCACTATCGTTACCGCAACAAGAGATTATTATAACGTTGCAAGCGATCATTTGTGTTTCTCGAAAGGCGATCAAATTGAAGTGATCGAAGAGGTTGATTTTTTTTCTCCTTCAAATCATGAAAAATCGTTGGCATGCGACGTCTTTTTGCGCTGAGAACAATTAAGTTAGGTTACTGTCTGTTTTCCACATACATCACTTAACATTTTCTCTTCACGTGGCGCACTGTTTTTTTGGTACATGTTCAACATCACTATCTTCTTCACCTTATTATATTTCCCTCCCCCTTCCAATTTAATAAGATTCACCATATTTAGGATCGACTCCGTCTTATGCACAGCCTAGTTAGAGTCACCCAGTACGGGTTCACCCCTTACTTTTCCTAATTCCATCCTCCCACGGGGCCCAAACGCCCGTGGGGTCTTTTACTTACACGACGCATGTTTTGCGTCTTCATATACGAAGTGAACTAAGACGCAATGGTTCACGTACGCTAGCTTATGCTGTTGTCGCTCCAAGTAATTGAGTAGGGCTGATTTCGCCACCTTCACGAAAAAGTACTAGTGCAAAGGAATTACTGCTATCTGCACGTTGAGCTCAAAGTTTGCACTTTGCTTTCATTCTTCGGTAATAAATTGGTACTACCATATACCATACAGTCAGATCGGCCATTACGTTGCTTGTAAGTATCCTCATGAGGGGAAATTATCGAAAGCCTTGCCAGCGTGTGGTTGCTTTTGGCATTTGCTACCCTCTGAATAGCCCGAACAAATCGGCCATCATGTTGCTTGTAAGTACCCTCAAAAGGGGAAATTATCGAAAGTTTTGCCAGCGTGTGGTTGCTTTTAGCATTTGCTACCCTCCGAATAGCTCGAACCGCATGTGCCCCCTCTTCCCTTTCCATCCCAAAGAGAGCGAATACGGTGGGGCTGGGGCTTTAACTTCCAAATGGGCATCAAACTATGGCCATATTGCTTCAGTTGACTGGTACCAAGTAGCATAAGGGAAAAAAGAGCTGGGGCAAATTTAGAACACTAAAGAAGGCCCCGTGGAGACCCAAAATACTTAAGTTTGCTTTCTCGCAGATAAGATATGCCTAGTAATGTACGGTGAAATTACAGGTAAACAGCAGTTGGTTGAAAGGACGACTTCTGCTCAATATGTGCAATGTGAAATCTTTCCCGATTGGTTTGTTCCCACGCTCAGCGATTCTGTGATTCGATGCTTTTCGACGTGCCTATTCTTGACTGTGATTTCGTATAAAATTTATCACTTGTATTGATAAACACATGTTTTATTGACTGTTTCTCTTCGTATCTTGTTTATGTATTACCTCACACTGGGAAAGCCAGGGCATACCATCAGATTTTTCTCGTCACAGGAAAAAGTGTGTGTACTGTTGGTAATGTGCTGTCCGTTCAGACTACTTTCAAAAATGCGGGGATTTTGACTGTGACTTTTTCTAGCATAGTTATTCGGTGGCAAGCAGGATAGACTCCCGCTTTTTTAGCTCATGTAGCCTGTAAAAAATTGCTCTTGACTCTTAAACTGCTGACTTTGCAAGGATATTCTCTGTCCACGTATCAGCTAATGATTTTAAACTCAGCTGTCGAACACCTCAACCACAGCCTCAAGCAGCTCTTCAATCTAAAAGTCGTTAAGGAATTCATCACAACCCCGGCTCGAACCGCAATCGTATATGTGAATGAACATTAGTTAATTTGCATACATGGATTTTTTGACAAACGACCGCTGGAGCAATACTTCCACTTTTTAGTGGACTGAAAATCTGCATTTTTTCAAAAAATTTGCATTTGTCATTTTTTCACAAAGCGAGCATTTGCCGGAACCAGGCTGGAACGCACCAGGCGGGCCGGTGCGATTATGTGTTTTTGCACTTCTCGTGCCGTAGCAAGATCGTAAGGAATCACAGTGGCTAAGCCTGTGACATACTGGCCCTCGAAGTTCGGGAAGTTAATTGTGCAACTATGTGTTATGTCAGTTGTGAATGCCGGCTTCAGTGACCCGGCAAATGGGAAGGTGCTGGTCCGCAAAAAAAGCCACACTAGAAGAGTTAAATCTGAAATCTTTTAGTCGCACATAAGTAGGAAACATTCCCTTAAAATTAAAGCCTTCAGCTTGTCTCGTTCCCGAATTGGCAGTTTTCCCACCATAATTTTCACGTGTCCGTACGTGGTTACAGAACAGTTTTAAGGAGCTGAATTTAAAATCTTTTGGTCATACATGAGTGGGGAACATTATTCTAAAGTTTCAGCCTTCTAGCTTTCTTCTCCCCCAGTTAGTGATTTTCTCGCCAAAATTTCCATCTGCCTGTACGTGGGCCCCGGGCACTTCTAAACAACTCATTTTGCACGCACGTGATTGGAGAACATTCCGTTAAAGTTTCAGCCTTCCAGCTCTTCCCGTTCCCGAGTTAGTAATTTTTTCACGCGCTCGCATGTGGGCCCCGGGCGCTCCTAAACACCTGATTTTGCTCATACATGAGTAGGGAAGATTCCCCCAAAGTATCAGCTTTCTAACTTCTCCCGTTTCTGGGTTAGTGATTTTCGCGCCAAAGTTTTCACGTGCCCCACGTGAGTGCCGGGCGTTTCTGAACACCTGATTTTGGTCGCACATGTGTAGGAAACATTCCCCTAAAGTTTCAGCTTTCTAGC